ATACCACCATGAAGCCACGTACAGACAATATCACAGCTCCCAAAAGGTTCACAGAACACACTGTATGCAAAAAGAGTTGTCCTCAACAAACCCCCCCAACACCCTCCCTCACCTGCAGGCAAGCCCGAAATGCATCCATCTCCTGAGCAATGTCCCACTCCTACAAACACCACAGAAAATAACTCCCCCAACTATGCCCGTATATACTCCTATTTCTACACAATGTCTGATACATCGTCGCCACCATTACACACTGTTGCACCTCCCACGTTTCTGACCCCTGCATGCCCCAGGCTATGTGCAGGTAATCTACCATCATGTAAGCCAGCACACACAGCCCCCTCTTCCACCCCCCACATCTAAACTTAGCGCGCTCAAAACTGACACGCCCCTCCCCCCACTCTCTTCACAACCGGACCCACCCATGCCTTGATCCCCTCCAGCCTCTCACAAAAATAAATAGCATGGAAAGCCATGTCCTCCCCCCACACAACCCACAATGCCCCTCCCCTACCCTTCTATCTCGCAAAACTGCACCAGAAGGCAAAGTCCTGTGCAAAAAAAGACATAACATGACCTCCCTCACCCTTGGTTGCAACCTCAACCTCCTGAACCTTTCACAGATAGACGCCCAATCGTAAATTGGCTAGAGCCCTTCCTGCACCTGCACCTCAGGCCTCCCCATCACCCTTTGTAAAATCCTCACCCTAAATTTCCCTTAGATCCTCCCCTCTGTTCAAACCCCACAACAACTCATGAACCTTACCCAACCTCCCCTCCCAGAAATGCCCCTCTCAACACCTCACACCTAATAAAAACACATCTAACCCTTTTCTGGAGATTCAACAAGCCCTTCTCCCCCCCTTCACACAGGCAACATGACCACTTCTTTTTTTAACCACTGACACCTGGAACCCCACAAAAATAGGAACACCTTCCTCTGAATATGTGCAATGACTGGCACAGTTAATGGGAAGACCTGTGCAACGAACCAACAAAAGTACATTAATCACAATTGTGGGCTGGAGAATAGTGGGGTGGTGCGGCCTCAGTATCCTCAAAGTCGTCTCCACACATTCCTCCAAACGAACCGAATTATCCTCCCGTGCCTGTAGTAAGAGTCCCCCTATAAAGGATACAACATATTTACAACACCTCCGTGCAGTTCCTCACCACTCGACACCCCCACTCCTCCCTGCCTTCCCACGTCCCCACTCCGAGAATAAACGAATTCTCTTTATTCACTATCATCCCAGATGCCCCCCCTGTAAATCCTCACCACCAAGACTGTCACTTCGTCCACATACCCTACCAGACTCAGCCTCGGGTGCCCGGCCCCACCCCTCCTCCCATGCATTTTTGCTTCCATCAATCTATGGAAAGGTTCTTGCACACATACAAAAAAAAGTTGGGAGAGCAGGCGCCCCTGCCATAGATCCCGACCCATTGCCACCACCCCCCAAATGCCCATTAACTTGCACATGGTGCCTTGTCTTTGCTCATTCCTTCCAACACTCTCCAAATTTCCTCCTCCTCAATGCCCCCCCCAATGCCAATCTATCCCCACCCTCAAAGGTTTCCCTACACAGCCACACACCTCCTCCAACACCTCAGTTTCCACCCCTTGACAACACCAGTAACTCTCATACCACCTGTCAGCATACATTCCCATGCTCTCCATCGACCTGAGCACCTGCCCCATTCGATAATCTGCCTCCACACCACACACCTCCGGCTGCGTAGTGTTTGTCGCAGTTGGTCCCTCAGGACACAAGCCAGTTGCCTATCCTCCCATAGCACCTCATCCAGACCTACCTGCACCCGCACCACCTCGAACCTTTCATTTTGCAATTCGCATAACCTCTCTTTCAGGTCCTCAATCTCCCCCACCCAGTACTGTCCCTGCAAAGCACCCCGTATGGTAGCAAACACATAAGTGCTGCTCCAGATAATTCGAAAATCCATATCTCATGGGATTAATTCTCTTTCCTCCTGTATACAAAAGGTCCAAATCATAGCCTTGGCGATACCATCCCACCAACCCACTATGTCGTCAACCACCTGCCCCTCCTCACCGAGATCTGCCCATAATGCCACAAACCTCCCTCCCCCTCCTCATCTGCGAGAACCCTCGCATTGAAGTTCCAGTAACCCACCTGCCTCTTAGCTAACTCCTCCCACCCCACCTCCACTACCACAGCACTATGATCCAAGAAAGGGGCATTCACAGTATAAACAGAAACAATATCCACGTGCCTCGTGACTTATAGATGATCCAACCTTGTCCCATACCCCTCTGGCACAAATGCACACTCCAACTCCCACGACCCCCCATAGAACACATCCTTCAACTGAACATCCTGATAAGCTCCCCCCGCATGTCTGAGAAAAAGCCCGCCCCTCTCAGCTCTACATCCGCTCGTCGAACTATGCAATTCCAATCCCCCCCCCCACTAACGCTAAAGCAAGTAACGAACAGCAAAAATAAATTAACTCATCCTTCACAAAAGCATTTTTAATCATTACAACATTCCCTGCAGCGTGTACACACACACAAAATCCACCCTCTTCTCTCCCCACCAACCCTCCACACATAAAACCCATCCCTCGACCCCCTCACTCCTGAGCAACACAAACGGGCTTGCCTCCCCGATCAAGATGGCGACCATCCCTTTTAGACGCTCCGAATGCACCACATAACTCCTGTAACCTTCCACCTCAAAAACCCTGCCAGCCTTCCAATTATGCTCCTGTAAAAAAAACACATCCACACAGTATCGACGCTAAAACGTACTTAACCACACATGCTTCAATTGTCCACACAGCCCATTAGCATTCAGCATCATACACCTGAGGCCTGCTAATGTTTACAGCCCCTCTGTACCACAGCCCCCTTCAGACACCGCAACATCATGGGATCTTGGTACAAAGACTTCTTCAACACTTGTCCAACCTTCGGACGAAGACCTACTTCGACTAGTGGATGGTACCACTATGACCCTGCCTCCTCCTGCTTCGCCTCACCTGTCTACAGTATTTAAGCCACGTCTACGGCCCAATGCTGTACTTTCTACAAGATTGATGGACTGAACACATCGACTCCAGGCTGAGGGACTGATTACCTCAAACTCATCCTCTCCTTACACCTTTCTGATTTGTATTGGACTGATGAAGCCACTGTGTGGCGAAACGTTTCTTCAGTAAAGATTCCCTTATGTTCCTTCAACTTGTCGGTTTTCAAAACCCTTCATCACACAGGTTTTATTATTTATTCATTATGTTGTAATATGTTTTAAATAAAATATAAAAGAAATCAAGACTTCCTTAGATTCGTAGCTCAAAATATCACCTACTTACACACAGTTTCAATCTGTTTACAATAAGTTTTAACTCTGTGATATTCAGCTAGCTCGGCCCTATTTTTTTTTTAATTGAACTAGCCGTCGGTTATTACAATGCCATCTGTTTACTGCTCATGAAATAAATTTTATTTCGACTCTTTTATTTCTTGCACTCCAGCTACTTGTAGAGTAGATGTTCAGAAAGTTTCTGTCTTGGCTCTGTTTACTCTGTTTGTAGAACGCAGCTTTAGATTGTATCAAGACACATCATACCAGTAACTACCTGAAAAACTCTCTTCAAGTTTTCTGAATGTTTTCTTGAACTGTCTAAATATTAGTTGTTTCTTCCATACTTTGCACTACAAACCATTTGTTTTTCTCACACATAATGCCTCTATCTACCAACGATTTACAAAGCAATACAATGAAACAATAACACCTTAGCTGAACTAGCTAGCACTATTACCTTGACTGAACTAAATAGCACTCTTACCCTTTACTGAACTAAGTAGAACTCCTACCCTTGACTGAACTAGCTAGCACTATTACCCCAGACTGAACTAGCTAGCACTGTTAGTTCTGCCTCAGAATGATACACTTCACTGTTTTCACATATCATGTTTGTCCAGATGCCATCGAATGGAACTGTACATTCTTGGCAAAACTTATGAATTCAGAAATTTACACCAAATGCTGTAGATATAACTTTACTGCCTACTTCTATTCTTGACAGATGCTATCTACCTAGGATCCCTTTGTTTTGCATAATTAAACAGACAGCTGTCCTCCATTTGGCTAAAACTTCATGCATTTTGTTGTCTCCCAACATCATTTTCCTCGGCACTGTGTCAAATATGGTGGTTGTTCCCTTTACTTGACACGATATTAATTGTATTATCTAACCTGTTAAAAATATCAGCTATACCATCCACAGTGAAATACCTTTCTGTGGCGCCTTCCTGTTTCTAGTACAAAATATAATGTTTATGTATCTAAGTCTGCGAGGCGCAGCCAGCTGTGATATATTTACTTTTATTTATAGAGGCTCTCGTCCTACCATTCTTCTAGTCATTAACTCTATATTCGTCTTGGAGAACATCATAATAATTTCCGCATATCAAGTCTTCTTTCTCAAGCTTCCTCAGTCTCATCCTCCTTTCTTGGATCACCACACTCTACCCATTTCTAATACGGCTTTATTTTTTCTTTTAATACAACCAATCAATTTGCACTCATTTTCTTCACAAATCTTCCCATTTATCCAATATTTTTTATTTCTTATTTTCCTCCTTCAGATTTATATCCTCCGTTATCACTTATACTGAGTCTGTAGAACAGAATAGCTTATATAGCAAACAATGTTGACAAACTTAAATACTCTACATAAGGACAGGTAGACAGCCTCATTCACCACTGTCCTTCCTTCACTGCTGGGCTTCCCACACTCTAAAGAAGCGATTTATCTTCATTTTTGTTTTAGGTAAAGTTAAATTGAACAAAATTATAGAAACCTATAAGAACATTTTTATTCACTAATGATCAAATTAAATTTAATGTGTACGAAGCGTCTGGCAAAGTAAAAGAAATTGTTAAAATATGTACATGTATGACTGGTGGTACGAGGATAATCTAACACATTATAATGCTACCCTGACTTACCATAAGATTGTGTATGGGAGTTCGATTGGTCTTTGACTTTCTCTTCGCTATTTTTCGTATAAGCCAGGCGGTGTTGTGTCTTCCAAAAGTTTCTGCCACTTCTTCAGGTAAGATATCAGCTTCACCCTTGTCATCCAGCTTTAGATCAGCTTGAATAAGCACCTGGATAGCCTTCTCATTCCCAATTAATGCAGCCAAATGCATCACCGAGAACCTAAAGTTGTTGAGAGCATTGCGGTTGCAGCCAGATTTCAGCAGCAAGTTTATCAGCTCCGTGGAGCCTCCGACCACAGCTGAGTGAAGAGGACTCCGTAGATCTTTGTCCTGGGCGTCAAGGTCTGCCCCGGCGGAGATCAGTAGTTCAGCACACTCCAGACGAGCCCATTTAGCTGCCATATGCAAAGCAGTAACACCTGAAAAGAATTTTATTTTTTTTTTGTCTGTAGTATTATTTTCTGCTTAGGCTCTGTTACGAGAAGTTAACCTAGAACGTAAGTTCCCCATCCTACACTTAATGTCTTATTCTTTCTTCAGAACTAACCTAACTCTGATGAAGTCTATACAATATTATTTACTGACCAACTTTTTTAACACCGGCTGTCTCCAACAGACATAGAGTCAACCTTGAGAAAAAAAATCACAATCTCCGTGAGTCATTCAGAACCTGTCATACCAGAGGCGTGCTGACTCACAATTTAAATGACTCAAAACTACAACGTCTCCACTCCTCCTTCAGAGGAAAGACTATCCCTTGAATCCCGTCGTAACACTCCAACAGCACGTCAAAAAATAAATAAACATTCGTTGTTATTTATCTGAGGTTTGTCATAACTATAATATACAGTTTTACCTGAGGAGGGAAGCCAATTTTCATGTCACTTAAAAATGGCCATCCTGAGTTTAACAAAAGAGTTGCGTGGGATCAAGCCAGGCTTAGTTAGTTGTGTGGGATCAAGCCAGGCTTAGTTAGTTGTGTGGGATCAAGCCAGGCTTAGTTAGTTGTGTGGGATCTAGCCAGGCTTAGTTAGTTGTGTGGGATCTAGCCAGGCTTAGTTAGTTGTGTGGGATCTAGCCAGGCTTAGTTAGTTGTGTGGGATCAAGCCAGGCTTAGTTAGTTGTATGGGATCAAGCCAGGCTTAGCTAGTTGTGTGGGATCTAGCCAGGCTTAGCTAGTTGTGTGGGATCAAGCCAGGCTTAGTTAGTTGTGTGGGATCTAGCCAGGCTTAGTTAGTTGTGTGGGATCAAGCCAGGCTTAGTTAGTTGTATGGGATCAAGCCAGGCTTAGCTAGTTGTGTGGGATCTAGCCAGGCTTAGCTAGTTGTGTGGGATCAAGCCAGGCTTAGCTAGTTGGAAGAATGCCTGCTAATTAATCTGGGTATCTTCACAGAAGTAAGAATACCGCCTGGCAAACCTGGAAATGATAACAGATGTAAGAATACCGCCTGGCTAACCTGGAAATGATAACAGATTTAAGAATACCGCCTGGCAAACCCGGGTGTGATCCCAGATGTAAAACTGTAGTCTGGTTAACCCAGGTGTAATCCTAGGTGTAAGAATGTCACTGAGTAACCCAGGTTAATGTTGTACACTTTAAGTACATATTTATAGTATACTACTTACAGTATATTTACGGTATATTACTTTTCTTTCTAAGGAAATTTCCCCACAAAAATTAATAAGTGCTACTCATTGTGTCGCTTATTCTTGGAGAATTTCTTAAGTACTAGCAATCCACTGCTAATATTCCAGAGAATACTGAAGTCATTTTAACTAAATTCCTAATGATGTTCAGCTCACTAATTTACATTTTGCTGACATCTAAGTTATATTAGGTAACAATCTTCTAAATTACTACAAGTAAATAAAACTTAACTCTTTTTTAATATAATCACTTACTGCTGGTAGCCATTTTAATTGTAATTATTAATTTTGCTCGTATGCAGTGTATTAGCCCATTTCTTACAGTTATATTATTATATTTGTAGTAAACAATTTACGAAATGCTTAAACTAGAGATTGTGTGCATATGGGATTATTTTTCAAGAGTCTTTCTCCACAGGAGAAATATAATGTAACTGTAACAAATGAGCTAATACACTTCATACGAGCAAAAATAATAATTACGATTACAATGGCTACCAACAGTAAGTGATTTTATTAAGACAGTCCATGTGCCAGGCATGGTCGTAACCATGCCTGGCACATGGTCGTAACCATGCCTGGCACATGGTCGTAACCATGCCTGGCACATGGTCGTAACCATGCCTGGCACATGGTCGTAACCATGCCTGGCACATGGTCGTAACCATGCCAGGCATGGTCGTAACCATGCCAGACATGGTCGTAACCATGCCAGACATGGTCGTAACCATGCCAGACATGGTCGTAACCATGCCAGGCACATGGTCGTAACCATGCCTGGCACATGGTCGTAACCATGCCTGGCACATGGTCGTAACCATGCCTGGCACATGGTCGTAACCATGCCTGGCACATGGTCGTAACCATGCCTTGCACATAGTCGTAACCTTGCCAGGCACATGGTCGTAACCATGCTGGCACATTGGTCGTAACCATGCCTGGCACATGGTCGTAACCATGCCTGGCACATGGTCGTAACCATGCCTGGCACATGGTCGTAACCATGCCTTGCACATGGTCGTAACCATGCCTTGCACATGGTCGTAACCATGCCTTGCACATGGTCGTAACCATGCCTGGCACATGACGTGCCAGTGTAACATCTCTATACAATGTGGACCGACAATAATGAAAACACACACAAATTCGAAGTCTACCTTGCAAATACTCCGCACATAATACTGAGAGGAGGGAACAAACCCCCTCCCTTAACACAATTACACTAAAGGGGCATGGACATACAGACATTCCCTGCAACAGGGTGCAATACAATTACACGAAAACCTCGTAATATCTTGAATTGTTCAATGCAGCCTAGCCGTCTTGGTATACACAAGCTCTACATGCTAATAAAGACCTCGGTAACCATGCTTGGGCACCACTGCTTTCCTTCTCAGAAGCACAACATTATCATTCAAACCCACACCTCTCACATCCCATATGACCTTTAAGAAAGGTCCAGAAAAATGCACATACGAAGGAAGCCAGGTGCACATAATACCTTACAATGAAGATAAAACAACATAATGTATGATACACACATGTCACATGTCAACACCTAGTCCAGTACATACACACTCACACAGCACGTACCTCAAACACCCAAAAAGCCTCATGGAACACGTCTGACACATCAGGCTTACCCGCTGTTGTATCTGCACACCACACTAACCTGTTGGAAAACCTCCCTCCCCGTAATTACTTCACACTCTCACCACACATACATAGCACGCAGACCTATGCAACACACTCCACATGCACACTCTCGCACCCCCCTCCCCCCAGCGGGAGGCCAGGCCGCTTTTCACCCCTGACATTTTATAAACCCCATTAAATCCCTCATCTTGAAAATTCTATAACCTTCGGAAAAATCCCAATACTCCACTCCCCCACCTTACAGTTCCCTATTGCGACACTTCGTTCCTCCATCCCTTTTGTCGCGCATCGCCCAAGATTATAAAGACGTAATCAACAACTAAGTAAACCACAGTTCTTTGGACCTCTATCCTACCCCCACCTACAACTAAAGAAGCGCTTCAAATACTTGTGGCTGTAAATTTTTCTCCAGGAGGGGGGTATTAGCCCCACTTCAGCCCATTTCAGCCCTGAGGGGCCCCAGCACGCTCAGATGTGCGGCAAGCATCTTGTTTACTGCTACAGAAGTAATTGATACCAGATGCAGGACGAGTATGGGACGTGCTCCAAGCTCCTTGCAAAAGTCCAGTGTGCAAAGTGTAGTTTATAAAAGACAGTCTATCTCTAACATAGCAGGACAATTAAAGAAAATCCTGCTCCCACTTTTTTACCTGGAAAAGATAGTGTACACTGTTGTCTATGCTTATGACAGCAAGAATCAAAGCATTCTGCTTTGCTTCATGGTGAAGTTTAGACAAGTAAATGCAAAAAAAGTTATAGGTCAGCTTTTCCTTAGTGTAGGGCTGTGACGGCATGGGCCGTGAGGTCAGCTTACTTTTGACTCTACTGAGAGTACACTGACGCCAGGGTAACCAACAAAGGACACTGTTCCGTGCTTTAGTTGTGAAACAAGTGCTCTCTCACATAAACACAATAAACACTTTAGTGAAGTGTGATCAGATTCTTCAGTGATATGAAATGTTGAGCAATAGTGTTTACGTCATAGGTACCTGGGTGCGTTTTCCTAGACTATGGAAGACGTTGGACATCCAAGGGACACTTCAGCTTTATCAAGTCACGGGAGACCTGTTGAGGGTGTTTGAAGAAACACCATAGCTCACGCTACAAGAGCATGAGGGGGGTTATAGATTTCTTGTAGTATGGGAACGACTCACAAAGTTTCTTGGTCGCAAGGAGTTTGTAATCACCTATTGTCGGCAGAGTGAGGTGCGGACTTTTGTGTCCACACAAGTACGTAAGTCAGCCTTTGTGAATGTTAATATGCTGAATTTGCACCACTAGGGTAATTTATTTTCTTACAAAAGATAATTAATTTCAGCCCATTGGAGAGATGTTCAAGTCAGCTAACTCTAGACTCGTATGCAGAGCGCGGCTTGTAGACGATTTGCTGTCTTGTATCAGCTAAAGTAGTTTCCCCTATATTTATTATCTTAGCTGGTATTCCCATTTCTCTACATAATAACGTTAACCCTATCCTCCCCCCACGAACCGGAACATTCTTTCCCTATCCTTTCACACACATCCCCGAGTGACGTTCATAAAATATAATGCTACCTATAATCCGGATCTCTTCTTTTCCCTCACTCTTGACAATCCCAATCCCTCCTGACCGTTAATTGGTGCAATACCACCCGACGGCAGATCTGTGGAGGAACTATTACATCACCCCTCACCACTTTGGCTTGATGGGCAACTTTTTTAGCTTGTCCCTTGTTTACATCGGGTACTCCCTTCCTCAAGCCACTGCTCCCGAGGTTTTTTTAACCGCCCTACTCTCTCTATGGAGCCAACCCGCATTTTCTTCGGATCATTGCATCGTGGCATTATGATGCGCAACATCCCCTCACAATATTGGCATAAATCCCTTCCCCTCTGCCATTCCAAATATCTCTTCCCTTACCCACGCACAACCCCCGCCCTAAGCCCCAGCAGGAAACCCGGTGCTTCACTTAAAACACTCCTCGGCCGTATTCCAATGAGATTAACCCAAGTCCTCCTTAGCAATCGGGTGCGTTACCACTCCACTCTTTAAACAATCCACAACCCTAACCCCAAATAATACGAAAAACCCTATCATCAATCTCCTATACATCCCCATACTTCAAAGGGTACATCG